TACGCACACAATCAACACAATCTGTCACTGTTGCGAACATTCAGCCGTTATGTCTTTTTTGATGGTTTTTGTTGAGCTTCCGTATCTCTCCTCGTATTTTACGTCAAGAGCAATACAGTATTTTTTTCGCGAGAAATAAGTTTATAGATCAGAGCACAGATAAAGTGTTCAGCATATGCGTCGGTTAACCACGAAACTCAGAGAGGGCGGAGAGATGTAAAAGTGGGGAGGGCTTACCTGGGGAGAAGCAGGGAGGGCTCACCTGGGGAGAAACGGGGAGAGGAAAGCAGAGATAGGGGGCGGCAGGCAGGCAGGCAAGTCTGGAGTCCAGTAAGCCGCTAAGCTCACCATGGTCTTATATACCCCCGCCTGCGCCTCCCCCGCGTTATTAATCTGCTAATTATAGACCACAAGTTCCTGCGAGGCTGCAAGGTAAGGAAGAGTGGGCAGTGAGGGGCGGAGGGCAGGTGGGAGTGGGGCAGGAAAAGATGGCAGGGAAGAGGAGGAGGAGGAGGATGGAAAACATGGAGAGAGAGAGATTCCATTCACCTAGGTTCTAGGAGACTCGAACCGTGAAGCTCTATTGACCGAGCTATTGAGTAGTCTTAATAAGGAAGACGTCCATTTATTTTCACGGAAGTGTGGATGACAATTTATTTAGATGTTAGGTAGCATTCGTCCCTGAGACGCCCATCACACACATTATTATTATTATTATCCAGGACATCATTATTAATAATGATGTCCTACCTTGAGGTGCTTCCGGGGCTTAGCGTCCCCGCGGCCCGGTCGTCGACCAGGCCTCCTGGTTGCTGGAAACCTGCATGTCATATGTCCTGTATATTTACGTCATCAGGGCAGGTAGCAGAATGTACTACAACTTGTTGATGGTGTTCTAGTCTTGTATACCACATCTTATATACCTGATATACACTTTATTTCTCATTTAATTTTTCGTTATGTGGTTGCACGAGACACTAAATCAAAACTTGCTTTGATTTGGTGTTGACCCTGAGGCCTATCAACCGACGGAAGGTTATTAAAGACTCATTTATGACCAAAGATATTGAAAGGGATTAAGTTCGCCAACCGGATCACCTGTCATTAATCACTGAGTTGCCAATCAAAATTGTAATCATAATAGTAATAATTAGGTTTTAGTAATAGTAATTTCCTTTTGAGATTTACTAATGATTGTATATCAGTTGTTGTGTTATGCTTTTTTACGGAAACTCGAATAAATTTGTTGTCGTTGGGTGGCGGTGAGAAATACTTCGTATACGGGATCTTGTTGCGACGTTGCTCATGCCTTTCAAATTGAAATAATAAGTTTATTGAGGTATAAATACACACAAAGGGATGAGGTACCTCAAGCTATTCTCACCCCGTTCACTACAACTTGTACTGAACGGGGCGAGGGTCTGAACATGACCCTTCTGAAGATGTATTATTAAATACGAAAGTACTTAAGGAAATTCCTATTTCATATCTTCCTCCGTGGTCTGATACTGTCACATTTTTCATCACGTGTTAATTTTAGTAATTTACACACACAAATATATACGTATTTAGACACATCACAAACAATAATCATATATCGAACATTCTGAGTGATACACATATACATTTCTGCCAGGCAGCTAATGTGTGTGTGTGTGCTCTCGTACTGACCTCTCGCACTTCTTGAATATTCTGTTACACCACAACCCGTCTTCTCAACTAATATCCACGTGTTCTAGGCATTGGTTGGTTAGGTTAAGTGGGTTGCTTCGGTTCGTGCATTCCTGGTTAGGTTAGGCGTTATATATTTTGTACATTGTGGTAGATCAAGAGAACGGGCTGACTATACGGCCATCAGGAGTTAGACCTTTCCTTATTTTAAACTTACCACGGAATCCTGATGTGGTAAGTTAAGCCAAGCTGGTGACTTCCCCGACCAACCACTTGGACTGGTAGGTAGAGCGACAGTCTCGCTTCATGCAGGTCGGCGTTCAATCTATGACCGTCCAAGTGGTTGGGTATCATTCCTTTCCTCCGTCCTATCCCAAATCCTTATCCTGATCCCTTCCAAGCGTTATATAGTCGTAATGGCTTGACGCTTTCCCTTGATAATTCCCTTCCTTTCCATCCGACCTTGTACATTCAATGAGGGTAAACAATCCATGGAAAATGAGTAAGGAAACGTTGAAATTATCGTCAGTGACACTGGCGGTACAGGTCACCGACCCCTTCCCTGCCACTCACTCGTGGAACAGACGTGTTGACAACTTCCCTGCTCCTCTAGAGTGCCGTGGTCCTGTTGACACCTACTATATCTCTCTCCCTCACAGCTGCCTTGATACCATTGGCACTTCCCCATCATAAGTGCCAGGGTTATGTTAACACCGCCACCCAAGTGCCATCAGAGGTGGAGGCGAGGAACTCACGCCTCGGCCGTGATAGTCATCTTTGATGTCTGTTGAATATCCCCTTCATCATCTGTGTTACGAGGGCGCATTAGCTGTTTCTCAGAGTAATCCATGGGTATAACATTTGTTGTTGCTGTGTATATTATTGGCTACACTCCATGTTGGGACCATTTCTCGCATCACACATCCATAGCGCTCATCACGTACCTTGCGGAAGTCATTTGCTTTCCACAAACATACAAGTTTTGAGTTTGGATCAAACTCTTCCTTACATAGGAAAATATGTGTACATACACACATACGAACGTGTGTACACATCTATAATGCGCCTTAGGACGCTTGGATCATTGAAAGATTTTCTATTATAATTTTGAAGATGGCCTGACTGTTATTAAATGTATATCTAATTAAAATGATAACTATAGGTTTAGTGACTAACAAGGAGCCGTTGATCAAACAAAGTAATCTTATATGAACTAGCTAGTTTGAAGGTTAAAGGGCAATTATAACACTGGATAGATGATTATCTTCATAACAGAAAGACTTACGTGAGGTATCAAGGTTACATGTCAGCTGTAAGATCTTTTGATTTTACAGTTTACTTAAGATCTTAAGATTGTTCTTAATTCCCACCCTGTAATTCATTAATATATAACTGAATAAGACAACATCCTAGAGATACTCGAACACGGTAACTACAGCCATATATAGGAATCTAAGAATCAAGGAAACTGCTGAAGGCCTGTTGGTCCATCCGAGGCAGCTTCTATTTATATCCACCCAAACCCATTCATGTATGTCTAACCTACGCTTGAAACACTCCCTATATCTATTATGATATGTTCCACAAATCCACAACCCTATTACCAAACCAGTATTTACCCGGTTTCGTGTTCTATTATGTGTTGATACTTATAATACCTTATTAATATATCTTATTTTTTATAAGAATAATTCATCCACTTATACACTTCAATCCTGTCACTCCTAACTTCCTTACTAGAGGATGGAATTTAAATGGGCCTCAATCTTTTTCATTATCTTCATATGAAGGGTTTTTAATCTGAGGGAATAATTTTGTCATCCTACGGTGGGCGCCTTCTAATGAATTTAAGTCCATTCGACAGTATGGCGACCAAACTGAACTGCATAATCTAAATGGGACTTGATAAGAGCAACTATAACTGAAGAACAACACTAGGTAAATTATCATCCACACTTCCGTGGAAATAACATTCCATTCACCTGGACCCATACCTGGTCCACGGTTTGAGACCCATACTGTCCAGGTGAATGGAATAACACCAGGTGTTTTATTGTTGGCAAACTCTGAATTTAAAAATTTGTGGAAATAGTTAAATGATAATTAAAGTAGCGAAAGCGGCCACGGAAAAAAATTATTTATTGTTATTATTTATATAAAATGTTATTTCCTTTTTTTTGACAAGATAAGGTATGAGGATACCTAAGCAGGAAGCAGATATTTAGCAGGAAGCCGGCTTCTTTTCAAAGGTTCCCTCATTTTTTTCCAACATGGCCCAGTTTTGAGTTTTGAACTAAAGTAACGTTTTGATACTTATGGGTTCGGCGGGTAGGCAGTTCCATGAGTTTATCCAAGATGAAACGGCAACTCCTGTTTTGTCCTATATTGTGGCTTATTTAGCTTGTAGCTTTGTTCTACTTTCTTAAAAACAGATTGTTCTTCTGAAGATGAGCTCTCTACACTTGGTTAAAGTAGTTCAAATCTGTGATATTTCTTTTGAACTGCAACCATAGTTACAAATTACATTTAAGTAATTCAAATAGCCAACTATTCTACCAACAGTGTAGAAACCATAAGAAAATACTTGCTCCATATTCTCATTAGCTTCAATGCAGATAATTAAATGTGCCCGTTAATCCCACATGTCCTGGAAGGAACTATACCTTCCAGGAAGTTCTACATTAATTCTAGGTCCACTAATTACAATATATCTCCCAAAGCGTACAACTAATTACAATTAATATAATCCAACGACTAAGATATATAATAATAAAGTCACGAATTAGAAATAAAGACTGCAAGTAACCTTGGAAGAAATGCCCTAATACTCCACATCTGCTTCAAGTCAGCAGCGAGACTTTCAATCCACTCGACAAGCAACAGTTTTAATGTGCCTTACATGGCTCTATAAAAAGAATTATCTATACTCCAATATTTGGGTGTAAACTTATTTGATAAATTAGCATTCCTGAATTTATAGTTATATATGCGCTTGTACATTTATGGTATACTTATTTACCCTTTTGTCTCTGGTTAGCTGGCAAACCATTTCACAAACTATACCTTATTAATCCACAGCAATTTTCGACAACTGTTTTTATAACTACGATTTCTTCTATTTGAAGTTTATTATCGAATGACAACAGTTTAACTAAGCTCAATAAGACTTGTCATATACGTTTAATTAATACAAGGTAAACAAAATGATTGATATAGTAAATTGTGTATGTTCCCGCTTTGCAAAAACACTTACCAGATAGTTCTGCATCCATTAATACTTAATGACCAATCTTTTATAAGAATAATACCTCGGGGAGAAAAGAAAAATATTTAAATACTAAGTTTTATTCACAAAAAATTGATTTGCTTTTGGCATTGGACAATTGTACTTCATTAACCTAATTGGTTACGGCCGGAGCCTACTTGTATCCAAACCCACTGTCATACAGTACTTTCACTCCAACTTAAAATTAATGTGCTGCGATCCTTCAAAAATATTTGTTACAAAATAAACGGTCATGTAGGAAAATTCTACTAAATAATGCCAACATTCAAGAAAATATGGTTCTGAACTCTTGTAAATGGGTTACAGGAAACAGCACTAGTCGTCCGATTTTCTTGTACGTACGCTCTTCCCTCAGTCACGTCCAATCACACCTGTTGTGAAAGAAATTAAATTCAGTTTTTGAACATAAAAGGATAAAAAACCACCTGAACTGCATTAGTCGTGCAATGGCATAATACAAGTCAATTTTGCACAATATAAGAACAAACTTTCTACTTACTGAACTGCAAACAAGCAAGAAATTCATATTTAAAAGAACAAGACACAGGATACTTGGGTGGTGGCAGGCAGGAGGTGGGATCGGCGAGACAGTTGGACGCTTGCCCGTAGCCGCCACACCACACAATGTCTCCGCACAACCGTCGAGGGGATTATGGAGGGCCCAGGCTCACCTCGTTTACCACCACGGCACACACGTTTCACCCAATACCATCACCAACCCAAAGTTGCTTGCAGAGAACCATTATCCGATATCATGTTGGAAGGGACATTTTCCAGCCACAAATTTTACGGAAAGTCACAGCCTTTTTAAAAACGTACATTCATATGGCACCCGTTGATTGTTGAGGTTCAGCAGCTCTCAAATTTCAAGTTCATTTTTTGGAAAGTATTAATACAAATCACAGCACATAGCTTCCATGTTATCAACAAGGTCAAAGTAACAAATTGGCACAAATGAATTTAAAAACTTTATTGGAATTTGCAGAATTAAATTAAATTTCAGTCCAAATTGTCTGGTAAATGATGAATAACCCCAGAATAGCTTTTCAATTAGCCCTATTTGTATTTAAATTGAGCAACGCAAATATTCTTCATTTTTCTACGAATCTCATTAATCCGTTTAAGCAAACTTTAATCTGTTTTGCTGTAAATTTCTGGATTATTTTAATCTTTTGCTCAAGTCTTCAAATCTTGCAGTTTTATAAACATCTTGTAGTTTCTACACATTTCATGTAAATTATGTAAATTAACTAAAAAGCTTCTTTCTTGATGTATGAACAAGGACTGGATAATACAGTAATCTTGCATTTCTACAGAAGTTCATACACTAACAATTCCACTCTTTAATGTGGTTAACCATTTCACTGTAACACTTCATATACAGAATGGTTTCATTAACTACACCTCTGCACAATACGCATCAAAACTAAAAAATATACACCACTTTTAATGTTTTACTTTCCACATGCAGTACAGTATTTAGGGAGTTTGGCCAATTTGTTGCAGTAAAGCATTCTTTTATCACTTAAAACTGTGCCAATTTTTCATTTAACAAAAACTACACAACACAATTTCCTATGGATAAGGGATAATGATGCACTAAAAACCACCCATCCCAACATATTCCCCACTAGCACTGGGCCCAATCCTTGGGTCTGCAAGGCCAGACTGATCAGTACCATGGCTGCCATCGTCAAGGCAGCCAAGTCGCAGCAGCAGGCAGTCAGCACCACCACACTAGAGTACCCAGATGATGATGGAAGGCCTCCACTCCTGGCCACCAATTACCTCACTTGTTGACCTGGTTGACATAGGCGTCAAGCTCAGCATCCAATTCTTCAGCAGTAGGCACCTTGGTCCTAGCCCCTCGCCCGCCAAAACCTCTGCCACGGCCGCCGCTACCACCACGGGTGCCTCCTCTGCTACCTCTGACCCCTCGAGTGCTGCCACGCACACCTCTGCCTCCACCGCGACTACCTACTGATAAAAAAGAAACGTCAAAATTAAATGCTACTATAATTAAAGAAAAAATCTTTACATTTTACAGAGCCATCCATACTTTATACATTCTGAACATATTAAGTGACTAATTGGACAATGTAATTTCAGTACTTACCAAAACCACTTGAAATTGGTCTTGGACCTTGTGATAATCTCTTGAGTGGTGCCGCATTCCTCAATCCCCCCGCAGGTGATCCCCCATCCATTGTGATGCTCATTGGTCGGCCATCAAGATGAACACCATTATATTGTTTGAGAGCTTTAAGAGCATCTGCGTGACGCTCGAATACAACATGTGCAGTACCCAATGATCTTCCTGAACGATCATAGTGAACGGCTGCATTCCTCATTGTTCCAAATTCAGCAAACAGCTCCTGAAAGATATAAAATAATGTCAGTCTGCTTTTTTAACACTAACATTATGTATGCTACATAAGTTTTTTTTTATTATTTTCTACCACAGATGTGACCACACATTTACAATGCTAACCAGCATATATACATTTTCTTGTCCGCCATGTGGTTCAAGTTCAGTAAGAAAATACCCGAAAGGCAGTCATTAATTACAAAGGGATTTTTTATCTATACTGTACCAAAATACACAAACCACGTATCTTATAATTGAAGATTTAAAAATGCAAGGTCTTATTTGGTTTATACGTTTTAGGAAGATGTGGGATGAAAAGGACAAATACCTAGGTAAGTACACATTAGGTACAAAATGTTAATGTAGCCAACAATTGGCAGTCTGAAAATTAATATCGAAATCAGAATTTGGGATCCTTAATATTAAATTCTGAACTGGGTCACTGTACATCTTTATAAAAATGCACTGTGTAAGCCTAGGCATCTCTTGTATACAACATTGTACGAGATCATCATTTTTCTCAAGAACAGTATGCTGTTGCAGACTACTATGGAGGCAGACACCACACAGTTTCAAAGACTGAGATGACATGCTCTTGTTGAAACCCACACTAGTTGACAGGCGAGACCAAAAAGCCCAAGCACAATAAGGCAAGTATTGTACCCAGTTTATGGGTATTTTTTGTGGTATAAAAAGTCTGATGGCAATATTCATTTAGATAAGGGATCCCATGCCATTATGCACAATAATGCATGAAAAAAAAGACTCAAGAACAGCACTGATTATATTGTACTGATGATCCAGTACAATGTTGAATTAAGAGATGCCTTGGCTTACACAATGCATTTTTAAAAAGATGTACAATGAACCAGTTCAGAATAGTCTGCCCATCCACTGGAAGCATGGCAGAGAGTAGTGAGAACAAGTCAATGTTTTCTTAATTAAGAAAAACTACACTACGAATGTTTAAGAATTACAGTTTGCGAAAATGTTATACAGTACAGTACTTTGAAACCCAATATAGGTTTACCACATTTTCTGGTTTTAATAAACATGCTTCCTGTGTGCGTGCCTGCAAAACAAGCACACACTGCTAAAACCTCGCTCGTGTCAGGCGAGTCCACTACAGGATCACCATAGCCATTGCTACTTGGAACCTTTTGTTCAGTAGTAGCTCAATCTAAAACAAAACCTGGGCGGTATGCATGGTGGATAATAGCTTTGAAGATTGATGAATTGTGTGTTAAATTATATGAACTGCCACCACAAGTTAAGATTAATTATCTTAATTATTAAACTATTTAATTAAGAGTATACTTACATGAATGTCAGAGTCAGACACACCAAAATCCAGGTTAGAGATGAGAAGTTTAGCTGGACCTGACAATTGCTGAGTACGGATTCCACCCCCTTGGTACATGTCATGGCTCCATCTTCCATCTACATTGCCCTATAAAAATAAATTAAACTTGTGAAATACTAGTTGTAATATATACATCACTGCTCTCTAAGTACAGAGCTTAAACGAGAAATATTTTTATTATACATAAATATTATAAAACAAAATTTTTTATTTGAACCAAAAGTTCAAGAGATCCTAATGCAGACTATAAGTCACAATAATGACTTTAAACTCCGAAAACAAGCATAAACCACTTCAATTGAACACCGACATGCAAGAAGCTGGGGCCAGATTCACGAAGCAGTTACCCAAGTACTTACAAATGTATACATCTTTCCTTAATCTTTGACGGCTTTGGCTACATTTATTAAACAGTTTACAAGCATGAAAACTTCCCAATCAACTGTTATTGTTATAAACAGCCTCTTTATGTCGGAGCATATTAACTGTTTAATAATTGTAAACAATGCCGCCAAAGATTGAGAAAAGATGTACAGGTTCGTAAGTACTTGCATTACTGCTTTGTGAATCTGGCCACTGGACAGTTCATTCTCAGTGGCTTGGCAGAGAACAAGCCAATGAAAAAGACTTTGGGGGAATAATAATAAATACTATAATATCATTTGGCAGATAATGCATTCTTGTTGCAAAATGACATTTGTTATTATAATGTCTTACACCAGTTAGGAATGAGAATTGAAGTATGTGATAATTATGAAAATTGGCTAAGAAAAAAGGTAAAATTATAATCACAGCAGCCAATGGCTAGGCTGTGCACATTACCTTGGCAGGTTTAAGATATAATTAAGGCAGTCATTTGAAATCACTGGGAGCACACTCTAGAACTACTTATTACATATTAATGCTGAAAAATATATGAAGTATCAAAAGAAGGCACCAAGCCGAGGTGCCTTCAAGGCGCCAAGTACAGTACACAGGTACAGTATATTTAGCTTGAATGTGAGTAAGATGAAGTTATATTTGAAATATAAATATTTCTTCTTGTATGCAAAATAAAAAATCCACTGCCAGTATTGTACCTATCCGTACAAGTGAAGGGTCATACACAGGGGATGACAAGGAAATTAGTAAAATCCTAAAAAAGCAGTGTATGAGGTCAATAAACAGCATGAAAGTTTATGTGATACCCAAACCCCCTGTAAATATAACATAACACAAGCAGGCAGATTTTATAAGGGAAATTGACAGCATGCCCATGCACTCAGCCCCAGGGCCAACTCATGCAATTCAATTTGTATAAAGAAATGCAAGGTGCCAGTAGCGCAGACACTTTGTATAAAGTGTGTGCTTAAATCAGCAGACATAGCCCCTCTACACAAGGAAGGGAGCAAAGTATTGGCATAGAATTATAGACCAGATGCACATCCCCACATAAAACTATTTGAATGATCAGGAGTCAGGTCACTAGTTTCATGGAAACAAATGACCTCCACAACCCAGGCCAACATAAATATAAGAGCGGGAAGATCATGCCCCTCTCAGTTACTTGACCATTACGACAAAATCACAGGCATTAGAAGAAAAACAGAATGCACACAGACTTTTTGCAGATAATACAAAAATCAGCATGAAAATTACCTCTGCAACTAGTGGTAATTATAACAGTGAAGACACTGAAAAACTACAAGTAGATATTAATAATGTTATTGACAGGGCAACATCATGATGATTAACAGTGACAAATTCCAGGTACTCAGGTACCATAAAAATGAGGACCTTAAACATAATATCAAATCAAAATCTGCCTATAGTATGAAAACAGCATGTGAAGGACGTTGGAATAATGATGTCTAATGACCTAACGCCGACCTAAAATCATCTCAAGATAACGTTCAGATTGCCGGAATAACCGTGGACACCTTCAAGAAAACTAGATTTTTTTTTCAAGAAGTGCTGGACTTCAACCAAACTGTGGTGGACCTAGGGGCCACTCCAAGCAACTGCCTAGTGAACTATCAAATCAAGCCTGGCATCGGGCAGATACCTTGTAGCAGGTATCATCCCTATTGGGCCTGTTTTCGATAAAACCTAATTTACATTCTTACATAGCCAAAAACGTGTGAAAAAAAAACAAAAATAGATGCACATACACATACGCTTAACATGCGCATACAAACATGAACAAGTATTAAATTTGTATACAATTTATATGAAACAAAAAGTATACAATTTGGTAGTTTGGATTCAGAAAGGTAACAAGTCTTAGTCTTATGAGAAATAAGAGTATAAAATCCAGATTCTCCAAACCTAGATGAAATTTTTCCTACTTTTCTTCCAACCAAAATTTAATTTAAAATTAACAAATTTGCTCATTACATGTATAGATCAACCAAAATTTAATTTAAAATTAAAAAATTTTCTCATTACATGTATAGATTTTAATTATAAAACTGAATCTTAAGACAAAATAAATCTCACAAATAACAAGCTCCTCTCGCCACCAGAAGGTTTTTGAGATGAACCTTCATCTCAATAAGTTTGAGGATAAGCTGGAGATACACACGAGAGAAGGCGCGCAAAACTTCCTTTGTCAAAGCGGATGTCCACTACCCCAAAGCTACATTGAGACTTCATATTATCAGCTAGGGGAGGATAAGAAAAGATGTCGCAACTCACCCTTTGTCCAAATGGCTGCCGTGTGGCTGCCATGGGGCGCTGGCCAGGCCGCCCCCGGGTCTGTCCTCCTGTGATGCCGCGCCTCACACCTCCCCGCCCGCGACCCCGCACTCCCCGACCTACGCCGCCGCCTCTCCGGGTACCCGGCTTGATCTTCTGCGTCTTGATGATGTCGTCCAAGCTCATATCAACTTTGGTGGCCATATCTGGAGGCGGGAGTGGGACGGCACAGGATGGCGTAAACAGTATGGCGTCTCCACACACACCGCTTCCCGCAACGCTCACTCTACAATGCCGGCTTCCTCCAGAAGCGTTGTCTTATGTGGCTTCCCCGCTCTTGCACCTCATCACTTTCTGCCTTTCGCCTCACCAATAATTTCTCAGATTATATTCACTCGTTTTTCGGGAAATATTAGTGGGTACTCATCTAGACTTAAAATAGAAAGATTAGTGACAAAATATAGTATAAATTTCCGAAGCCGATGTCAATGCTGGAACAGCAAGGAAATTTAAATGTGACTAATTTTTGCCTTTCCATGTAAACCAGTAGCCATATTTAACAAAATCAATCATATTAATATTTGTATTATTATTTGTACATAAACTAGCTTAAAAAACTAAAATTAGATGATACCCAAATGATATGAACTGAATTATAAGTATCCATACACTACCTTCCTCATTAATATAAATAGTTAATCTATATATCCCAAGAAGACATGACTTATTTTCCTCTAAGCCTAGAAATATAAATATACTCTAAAGTGAACAATAAATATTACCCGGTGTGAAGCATTTTAGGGTCGGAGTGCTTGGGCGAGTGTAAACACAACGTTCCCATGTCTCTCTTCCCTGCTTACTCCGTTGAGGACAATTCTGGTAAGTTTTGTTACCATTTCAGGATATGTCTACCACTGCACATGTTCACAGCCTGTTCATATACCAACCGAGATGTTCAAACGGTTAAAATCCACCATAAGGAAGCCGAGGCTCTTTAGCTTGGAAGTCTCTTCACTTCGAATAATACAGTAGTCAAGACATTTACCATAATTCTACCTGAGTCACCATCTCTAGTGACTTCGACGGGGACAGGAAGCTGGCTGCTTGTTTAAGTTCTCCCCCCATTATATGAGAGCTGCGTCAAATACTGTTTCATAATCAACCGGGTTTTGCATCTTTAATGCACACTCAATGTGCATTAAATGTATTATATTTATCTGAAGGCTACCGTTTGTTGTGGCCTCGACAGGGACAGCTTGTCAAAGGTTCCCCATTGTTCTTAATGATTTTTTTCTATTTAGGTTTTAAACTGAAGTAATGTCTTCAGTAGTAAGAAAGTAAGGTTTTAAGGCTAGGTAATGATGATAGAGTTACAAGATATGAGCTAGATGGTTTTGAGATTGAAAAGTCTGATTGCAAAAGGAAACTGAGTTATGATTAGTTAGAATTTAAAGCCAAAAAGTAAATGCATAAAAGTTCGAAGTAAGACAAATAGGACAATGGGATTTATTTATCGGAAGCGTTAGTAATGAACGCTTCTGATAAATAAATCCAGAGACAGGACAGAAAGAATTGTTGTTCTTCAGTTATATCTTGCTCTGGATAGGCCCTATTTAGATTATGAAGTTCAGTTTTGGTCGCCATACTATAGAATGGATATAAATTCACTTGAACATGTCCAGCATAGGATGACTAAGTTAATTCCCCAAATTAGAAATCTTTCATATGAAGAAAGATTAACAAAGCTTACATTGCATTCACTGCAAAGGCAAAGAGTTAGGGGTGACATAATAGAGGTTTACAAGTGGACGAATGGACACAACAAAGGGGATATTAATTAATAAGGTATTAAAAGTATCAACACAAGACAGAACACGAAACAATAGGTATAAATTGGATAAGTTTAGATATACGAAAGATTTGGGTAAATACTGGTTCGGTACAGTAACAGGGTTGTTGATTTGTGGAACCAATTACTGCGTAACGTGGTGGAAGTGGGGTCCCTCGATTGGTTTCAAGCGTGGGTTGGACATGTATATGAGTGGGATTGGGGTGGTTATAAATAGGAGCTGCCTCGTATGGGCCAATAGGCCCTCTGCAGTTACCTTTATTGTTATGTTATTAAATTGAATAAGCTTAGATTTAGGAAAGACCTGTGTAAATACTGGTTTGGTAACAGGGTTGTTATGGATAACAAAGAATCTGGAAAACCTTAAAGGTACAAAAGGATTAAGTATGGAGAAGTCAGAACATAAGAACAAAGGTAACTGCAGAAGGCCTATTGGCCCATATGAGGCAGCTCCTATCTATAAACACCCAATCCCACTCATATGCATGTCCAACACGCGCTTGAAACAATCGAGGGACCCCACCTCCACCCGTTACGCGGTAATTGGTTCCACAAATCAACAACCCTGTTACCGAACTAGTATTTACCCAAGACTTTCCTAAATCTAAACTTATACAATTTATACCCATTGTTTCGTGTTCTGTCTTGTGTTGATACTTTTAATACTCTATTAATATCCCCTTTGTTATGTCCATTCATCCACTTAAGAACACATAAGAACATAACAACATAAGAATAAAGGTAACTGCAGAAAGCCTATTGGCCCATATGAGGCAGCTCCAATTTATAACCACCCAATCCCACTCATATACTGTACATGTCCAACAAACGTTTGAAACAGTCGAGGGACCCCTACCTCTACCAAGTAACGTGGTAATTAGTTCCACAAATCAACAACCCTGTTACGAAACCAGTATTTACCCCCATGTCTTTCCTAAATGTAAACTTATTCCATTTATACTCATTGTTTCGTGTTCTGTCTTGTGTTTATACTTTTAATACACTATTAATATTCCATATGCAGGAATATAATAATACATATTATTAATATTCCCTTTGTTTTGCCCATTCATCCACTTGTACCCTTCTATCATGTCACCCCCTAATTCTACGCCTTTCTAGAGAATGAACTTAAGAACAAAGGTAACTGCAGAAGGCCTATTGGCCCATACGAGGCAGCTCCTATTTACAACCACCCAATCCCACTCATATACATGTTTAACCCACGCTTGAAACAATGAAGGGACTCCACCTCCACCACGTTATGCGGTAATTGGTTCCACAAATCGACAACCCTGTTACCGAACCAGTATTTGTCCAAGTCTTTCCTAAATCTAATCTAAACTTATCCAATTTTTACATAAGAACAAAGGTAACTGCAGAAGGCCTATTGGCCCATACGAGGCAGCTCATATTTATAACCCCCCAATCCCACTCATATACATGTCCAACCCACGCTTGAAACAATCGAGGGACCCCACCTCCACCACGTTACGCGGCAATTGGTTCCATAAATCAACAACCCTGTTACTGAACCAGTATTTACCCAAGTCTTTCCTAAATCTAAACTTATCCAATTTATACCCATTGTTTTGTGTTCTGTCTTGTGTTGCTACTTTTAATACCCTATTAATATCCCCTTTGTTATGAACATACATAAGAACATAAGAACAAAGGTAACTGCAGAAGGCCTATTGGCCCATTCGAGGCAGCTCCTATTCTATAACCACCCAATCCCACTCATATACTTGTCCAATCCGCGCTTGAAACAATCGAGGGACCCCACCTCCACCACGTTACGCGGCAATTGGTTCCACAAATCAACAACCCTGTTACTGAACCAGTATTTACCCAAGTCTTTCCTAAATCTAAACTTATCCAATTTATACCCATTGTTTCGTGTTCTGTCCTGTGTTGATACTTTTAATACCCTATTAATATCCCCCTTGTTATGTCCATTCATCCACTTGTAAACCTCTATCATGTCGCCCCTAACTCTTCGCCTTTCCAGTGAATGCAACTTAAGCTTTGTTAATCTTTCTTCATATGAAAGATTTCTAATTTGGGGAATTAACTTAGTCATCCTACGCTGGACACGTTCAAGTGAATTTATATCCATTCTATAATATGGCGACCAAAACTGAACTGCATAATCTAAATGGGGCCTAACTAGAGCAAGATATAGCTTGAGAACCACACCAGGTGTCTTGTTACTAACGCTGCGATTAATAAATCCAAGTGTCCGATTTGCCTTATTACGAACATTTATGCATTGATCCTTTTGTTTTAAATTCTTACTAATCATAACTCCCAGATCCCTTTCGCAATCCGACTTCGCAATCACAACACCATCTAGCTCGTATCTTGTAACTCTATCATCATTACCTAACCTCAGAACTTTACATTTATCAGCATTAAACTGCATCTGCCAATCCTTTGACCATTTCAAAACCCTATCTAGATCAACTTGAAGTGATAGTGAGTCCTCCTCCGAATTAATTTCCCTACCGATTTTCGTATCATCGGCAAATTTGCAAATGTTGCTACTCAAACCTGAATCTAAATCATTTATATATATTATAAACAACAGAGGTCCCAGGACAGAGCCTTGAGGCACTCCACTTACAACATTTTCCCACTCTGACTTGATTCCATTTATACTAACTCTCTGTTTCCTTTGGTATAGCCATGCCCTAATCCAGCTTAATATAGCACCCCCAATACCATGAGACTATCTTTTTAATCAGTCTTTCATGTGGCACTGTATCAAAAGCTTTGCTAAAGTCAAGGTATACAACATCGCAATCCTTACCACTATCAACTGCCTCAACAATGCTAGAATAAAAAGATAACAAATTTGTTAAACATGAACGGCCATTTATAAAACCATGTTGAGACTCAATTATTAATTTATGTTTTTCAAGATGAAGACGAATTTTATTTGCTATTATAGATTCGAGTAACTTTCCCACAATAGACGTTAGGCTAATTGGTCGATAGTTAGACGCAAGTGATCTATCTCCTTTCTTAAAAACTGGTATCACATTAGCAACTTTCCAAAACTCTGGCACTCTGCCTGACTCTATTGATTTATTAAATATGGTTGACAGTGGGTCACAAAGCTCCTCAAGTCCCTTCATCCACTTGTAAATCTCTATCATGTCACCCCTAACTCTTTGCCTTTCCAGTGAATGCAATTTAAGCTTTTTTAATCTTTCTTCATATGAAAGATTCCTAATTTGGGGAATTAACTTTGTCATCCTACTCTAGACAAGTACAAGTGAAATTTATATCCATTCCCTCGATTGGGGGTGGGGTCCCTCGATTGTTTCAAGCATGGGTTGGACATGTATATGAGTGGGATTGGGTGGTTATAGATAGGAGCTGCCTTATATGGGCCAATAGGCCTTCTGCAGTTACCTTTGTTCTTATGTTCTATAGTATGGTGACCAAAACTGAACTGCATAATCTAAATG